TGCAGTGTTGTGCGAACATTCGAATAGTAGTTGAGGATAATGTGCTATTGGATATTCCCTTCAAAGTGAATTGCGATATACGCACTTTTATAAGTGTTGATCCTTTATAACTTTTATAAGTTTAAAAGTGTTGATCACGCGTCGCAACTTTGAAATGGCTGACCAACTACACGCTGTTTAAATATCCACACAACCCCAATTATTATAACTGTTCATCGCGGCGGGTTAGCCCCGTTGAGTGCGCTTCCCGCCGAGCACCTTTGCACTGCGGGGAAACAATACCAGCGGAGCTCGCAGGCTCTGTGCGTATTGCTTCCTCGCAGTGCACGGGTGCTCGGCGAGAAGCGCACTCAAAGGGGCTAGTGCGCCGCGATTATGCAAAAAGTATGTCAGGCAGCGATCTCTCGACGCTCCGCGATTAACATTAGTGTATTTTTTTTAATTTGAAATATAACAAATATTATTCGCATACTAGCAAGCAGATTTATAAATCCCCTCCATTAGGACAATTGCGACAAATCTGTCGTTTACTTATCACAATGCATAAATATAGTTCGATTAAAATTAACTGAACTCAGAAGTGGACGAGGGGAAGGTTGTAAGCAACCTTCGTGAGTTCAGCTGAATTCTGATTTAAGCATGGTTCACAATAGTGAATGACTTTCTAGATGAATGCACTGAACACCGATGCCATAAGCGTTCTTGGAGCGAACTTGAAATGTCAAAGGCTGGCTGCCGTAACTTATCTTTCGCCGAACTGGGATCGACTCGGCTGTGTGATCACATTCCTACGCTCGGCTCAGATACCTACGCAGCCGAGCAACCCGTCAAGTCGTTTGCGCCGGGTCTCGCAAAACAATCACCCTCCACCCACGCGAGTTCACATCGAGGGCTTGTGTAACACACAAACCAAACAAAAAGCGATAGACCTGCCACGTTGGCGTCATTCCTTCTCTCGGTGTCTCGCCTGTGAAACCTCGAAAGGGGATTATCTGAAGCAGGTCGAGTGAGGCTTACACGACCAGCCTTGAAGAACCGTACGGAGCTAGACGCAATTTCGTATCTTCGTCGGAAGCCATCGGCAAGAAAGATATTAGCGGTGTCAATATACAGACCACAAAACACCAAAAAGAAAAAAAAAAACGCACGCACGCACAATAACGATCAATCTTATTCGTACTAATAATTTTATTCGACACAAAACAAAAGAAAATAAAACGCACATTGTCGCCAGGTTCTTAGTTGGATCGCGATATAAGTCTGTACTTACGAAACACACGTGAATACGCAACCTCCAAATAAAGATAACTTCAGTTCTATGTCACGGCTCAAACCCAATACAATAAAAGCATATAAGAACGTCAAGGATGATAAAAAAAAATATATTAAAATACCTGCCAGTAACGTAGATACGAAAAACAAAATGCACACTCAATACTTGCTGCACGGAAACAGAGGTAGCCACTGCAAGCTCTGAAACACGAGACGTATTTTGGACACGTGACACATAGTGGCTCCAACCACGTGACCCACGATGGCGTCCCTATAAATATAGCTTATGATGTCAATTTTGTCAGCACGGCACGGCTACAACGACCGACACAAATTACAACTCCGCTTCGGATACAAAACGTTCTACATAATAAAAAAAAACAAAAAAAAACGTATTATTTGACGAGACAAAAATAATGTACAAAGACAAGAAAGTTTATTTTATCGAGAAACGCGAACGTCTGGCAACCGGCGCACCCGTCATGCGCTCCATCTTGCGTATTCCACGAGGAGGAGGGGGGTCAAATGTCTCCGAAAGAAACAACGCCCCTCGCACCATGCAGGCATCTCCAAAAGACCGAACAAAGCTAAGCGGCAAGAGACCAGTCCGGCAGTTCGTCCGAGACGTCGAAATGGCGGCGTGAAGCGCAGGCTCGCCTGAATCCCCGCGTGCACCCGGTCACGGCACGTACGAGCCGCGTGCCCACGGCGCGGCGCACGCTCCGTCGGTTCCGCGTGACTCGTCGTCCAAATCGGCCCGACACGCCGCTGGCGCTCGATTCAAAGGGATCCCCCGGAGCGATATTGCGAGGAACATGTCCGCTTTACGCGTCTTTCGAATCACCGCTATACCTCTTCAAATGCAAAGATGGAGAACAAAAAAGGGTCTGCCTATTGGTGGCCGTGCTTCTCTACAAACTACGTCGAAATGCGATAGCATTGCCTGTTTTCTATACAGGCTTGCTTCTCGGTCCCTAAAACCAAACGTCGCGCTCTCTCTCTCTCTCTCTCTCTCCTCCGGTGTTTCTTTGGCACGTCGAATCCTCCTTAGTCCGCTCCTTCCTCTTGCGAGGCGTTAAATAGAAGAGCGCGGCACATTCAGGGCGCGCGTCGTCCTGTGAACCGCGCATGCATGAGCGCGATAAGGAGAGGGGGACGGCAGTGTACTTGACTCCCCCGCGCGTGCGTTTCAATCTGACGACCCCAATTTTTAGGAGAGGAGGAGGTAAATGACTTAGGGAGCCCGTATGGTGTGTGTGTGTGTGTGTGTGTGTGTGTGTGTGTGTGTGTGTGTGTGTGTGTGTGTGTGTGTGCGTGTGCGTGTGCGTGTGTGTGTGTGTGTGTGTGTGTGTGTGTTAGGGGAGGGGGGAGGCGTAAGGCATATGCACTCGATGGGTTTGAAGCTCAACTTAACAACCTCGCATTAGGTTTTGCTTCGATCTCGTATCATAGGGAGTTTTAGAACTGATGCAATTTTAGCGCACTCTAGCGCGAAATTTAGCGTTTGCGTTAGCGCACGCTATGCTAGAGAGTTTTAGAATAGCGTTTCTCCGCCGCGACGCAAAAGCCAAAGCGTCTGGCGCTTGCAAGGCCACCAAGATACAGTCACGATTCTTTTATAGATACGAAAATGCGACGGAAGCGGTCGAGCGGTCGTGTCCGCTTCCGTCGCCTCGGCAAGAGAGGTCTCGTGTACGGATCTTCGCCGAGAAACGTTTGCACGTCACCAGCATTGGGTTGTGTGTGTGTTTATACAGCCTGAACTTGGTCTGCATCAACGGGAGACTTGTCTCTCAGCTGCAGATGAGTGCAGTACGACCGCTAGCCTGGGGTCTTTAACGTGCAGCACGCATTAGTGATACACGACCGCACGCCGGTACCATGCTCATCCAGATCGAAACGGACAGGGGTGGGGACTGAACACAGGGTGACGTAGCAAAGCATCAAGCTGCCGGCGATCGTTGCCCACCCTTACTAGGTCTTCCAAACCATGTGCAATGTCGTTCTGTGATGAAAATCGCAGTCCCGAGGATGTCGCACACGTCGTGCTCACAACGCCGCCAAAGCGGCCGCAGTCGCGGTCCTGGGAGCCGCCATTTTTTTAGCTGTGCTTGTCTTGGCTTTAGTCAGCTTTTCATCACAAGCCCTCCTTGGAGGAGCGCAAAGTCTCTTAACGTAAGTAAGCAATAGAAAATAGCGCACGCTAAAATAGCGCACGCAAAGCGCAGTTAGCGTTCAACGAATGCGCAGTTGCGACGACGCTATTCTATCTGTACGCAAAGCCATTGTGTACGCTATTCTAAGACTTCCGAATTACGATAGTAAAATTCTGACTAAGTTCCGTGTAAACAAGCTGTAGGAGAAAGAAAAAAATAATTTTCTCATCGATCCGATAAGCCATGCAACTATCAACCAGGTTAGAAATGCTGGTCCCATATTGAAACGACTTAATACACAAGCGTGAATACTGTATAAAACACAATAATAGCCTTTAGACAATTTTTTTTATTTATTCTCTTTTATGATTAACCCAGGTGCATATCGGCTCTCGTGTCGATCTTTTCGTCAACAAGTGATCACCGTCGCATTTCCCTCAATAATTTTCTTTTCTCTCTCTAAGTCACTTGACATACATAGTTATGGGTTGAAAAGAGACCACAAAAAAAAAAAAATTGAAGTCGTGAAATAGACTACTCGAAACCAATAAAACACACATATGCTACTTTCCGTAAGCTCATTCGATGTGTTTGCATCTCTCTCTAATCGCAGGACAGCTGCTTTATATGCAGTGCGCAAAGCTCACTATGGCCCCTCCCGTCGTTGCGCATTCGCCAGGTGAGAGTGAGACCGTGATTGCGAACCATCTCTCTCGCGGCAGAGCACCAGCCAAATTGGCCGGAAGAGCTGGTTCGGTTCCAGCCGCGCACGATATCAATGTTTACTTGATGAAGCGAGTCTCTCAACGTTGCTCCTTTAACGAATTTCTGTGCCATCGCAGTATTAACAAAATATTGCTTGCTGCGACTGCCACCGTCCATGGGAGGGGGCTCGTTGTCTGAACACGGCTCGTGTCTCGGTGCACAAGCCCTTAGCGGACGGCGGTCAGCGAGTGGTGCTTTCTTCCAAAGCGCTTAACTATTATACAGAGTAACAACATATGCCCCGGTTGGCATTTAGTTACTGTATTCTTCTAGAAAGCACCGCCAGATGGAAGAGAGCAAGGGAGATACAAAGTAATCACGCTACTTCTGCTGGGCGATCGAGCCTTTGGAACGGTCGGAGGAGAGCTTTGAGCTTCTGCAACCTCGGACGCCCATGCAATACCCGTACCCCTTTGAGATTGCAGGGGCGCACAGACTGTCATATTCTTTTGTCTAAAACGATATCGTAGTATTTTCACACGTCGGATCATTACATATTAACGAAATACTCTCCATTGAATTCCATAACTCTAAGAAGTCGTTCAACCAAGATATTTCTACGAAAAAAAAAAAGTTGTGACATCGCGCTTCTCTCTTGCCTCTTGCCCCCCCCCCCCCCCCCCTGACCCCGCCCCCCATCCCCCCCCCCCCCCCTTCTCAAAAGAAACAGAAGTCGTGTTTTTATGCTTTATTCTGTTGCTTAATTGCCACATGTTCCGTTTTCGCTAGATCCCTTCAGCTCGACTAAACCCGCAACTAATCGAAACAAGCTCAAATCTAAGAATAAATCCAAAACAAATTTCTCACCCAGGTCGACGGGGTAGAGCTGGATGTTGACGTCCAGAATCAGGTCCATCTTGAAGGACTCGCTCTCGCAGTGGAGACGACTCACTGCAAAAAAACAAAGAACAAAACAGAAACATTAAAGAACAAAGCCCTACAATAAAATGGAAGCTAACGAGTCACATCGCAACATCTGTGAGCTCACAAACGCTGCAGGAACAGACATCCGCGCATTCGTCAGATTCGTCTGCCTCAACCGGTAAACGCGCAAAAAAAAACAAAAAACGTTACGACAGAGAGAGAGAAAAAAAATCTAAATATATGTCATATGATGCATCTAGACATCAACTGCAAAAGCAGACCACAGAGGTCCAATTCGCGCCCAGCCGGAAAGATATCCATTCCATGTATATCTTTCCGGCTGGATACACCGTTTCACGTCTCGGTGGACCGCAGTAGGCGCTACGAGTCGTCGAAGCCAATCACGCGCCGTGTCACGTGACCAACAAGAGGGGCACGACGACGTATGGAATGCGCAGTCACGTGATCAGTTCATGGCGCTGCATTCGCTGGGATGGCTCGTAGCGTCCGCAGCAGACCATAGCAATGTGAAACGGAATATCGAGGAGTTTATACACGTTTTCACCCCAAGCACCGTAATAAAAAATAAAAAAAAAGTCCATCTCTTCGCGGAGCATTACTAATTTCCTCATTTATGTGGAGAGTGAAGATAACATATGTAGGTGCATTTTAGATTAGATATTAGTTATCAAGACGTACACGTTTCAAACGCCGAAAGCATCGATTCTTCCTCCGACAACCAAATTTTGCAACTACTTCGCGCGGCTAATGAACAATGCCGTCTGAACAGGCGTGCTTGTTAAGCGCGGAAAATGAAAGTATCGTGATCACCACAAAGAAACTAACCATAGTCTCTTATATACTGACAAAGCCTGGCAGATCGCCACGAGAAACGGCCGCCGAAATGGAAAAGGTGAAGCGGCAGACAACGGATGAGAGAAGATCCCTCCTCCAGGTCACGTGACCCCCCCTCCAAGAACACGTGACCCTCACTACCCTTTCCTCCGCCTCCTCAAGAGCTGCGCTCTAATTCGGCGTTACAGGGAGTTGTAAACGGCTTTCATTTTTTTTTTTTGCCATTCTTGTTGGAGTATACGCTATATAGTACGGGGTATAAAAATCAACGAAGATCAATACAACAGCACGATAACCAATGTATTCTAACGGGCGGAGGCAAGGCAAATTGGGCTACCCTTCATTTGTATAACTCGAAGGCATCTCCGCAGACGGCGCTCGCTACAGGAAAAAAGTGCACTGCGGGCTCAGCACCCCGACCGCAGTGCCCAATGGGAATTACGCGAAGCGTGCGCGTAAACCTGACCTTGACAGGCTTGCACAGTGGAATCTCGTTAATGCAGACTCGCGAATAATTGTAGCTAACATGCAGGTCCCGTCTTATGTGTTTCCAGGAAGGTAACTCCCGGCAATTCAAACTTTGCACTATTCACACAAATTTTTGGTCCCCCTCGGGTTCAAATTAACGAGATTCCACTGTAATCGCCTGTGCTTGCCCGCACGTGCGGGCAAGCACATGCGGAGTGGATGAGAAGAAAGAGGTCACTATAGGAGGGCAGCCCATTTTAATTCTGGGGGAGTTAACTCAGGCGGCGGTAGCACATGAACATCTCTTCACGCACGGAGTTAAACAGACTCCGGGTATCAACTCAATTACGAAATTCGTCACCGCGCAGCGCTCAGAAGTTCACTTTTGCAGCGGTTCAGAACTCAAATACGCGTCAAGCAACGAGCGAAGCTGATTATGAAATGCCATTAGTCGACATCCCCGATCACTTCCGCCATTCACGCTCAAGTCGAAGCGGGTGGGGTCTGACGGCGCTGCACCCAGCGTCTAGAATTTCGGAAAAGCTCGCCGCGCAACCACGCGGTGTCTGAAGCAATCTAGGACAAAATAACGAAAGGTTGAAGGAACTTTCATGGCAGCTGAGTAATAACGCCCGATCCTCTTTAAATCTCAACAAACTTTGCTTGTCTGGCCACGCTTCCGCGCGATGTCGAGGTAAAGGGAGCTGAAACTGAAATCTTCACCGAAACTAGCTTCACTCGTTTTCAAATGTACTCGCTGGGCTATTTTTTTTTTTTCTTTCATTTATTCTCTTTCCCTATTTAACCCACTTTTAAATGCTAACCACTTTTAGAAGAGCAGTTATTTTCGTTTATGTTTCTGGATCGCCGGGATCGTGGGTTCCCAAACCGCTTCTCTTAAGCTCTGCAGTGCGAGAAAAACTCAAGCACTTCCTGCAGAAAAGCGCTCCGCACAAAAGAGCTCCTCATGCAAGACGTTTCAACCACTTCCAATACCGAAAACAAAAACAAACAAAAAAAACGCATTTTTTTGTTTTGGTCGCAGGGTGAATGATTTTTTTTTTTCTCCGTTTTCAAAAAAAACAAGATTGTTTTGTTCACAACTACAAATTTGCCATTGGAACAGGTCACCAAAGTGCGCGAATTAGAAAGTTAATTAGCAATTTTTTTTGTTAACAAGTTAGCTAATCAGTGGGGTGTTTGATTGCAATCCTCGACTTTTGTCGTGTCTCGTACTTTGCTCCCTAAAATATTTTTTTTCTCAATCGCACTATTTTTGTGAGTCTTCGAAAGTCTTTGCTGAAATATGTGGCACATAAATGTGAAACTACCTCAAGACCCCGGGGGAGTGCCCACCCCACTTTCACTAAAAACATCGTTAACCTAGAGATTGGCACTTGCCCGGTCGAATCGGGTGTTTCACATATAATTTGCAGGATTCCCAAGTTTGTGAAATGTTAACAGTGGGCGCTTGAACGAGGTGAGCGCTTCAGCGGTATTCTACGGTAGTATACAAATAATATCAGGTGGCGTGCCACGGAACAGCTTTTGCTCCAAATATCCTCTGTTCTGTTTCTTCGTTCACATTCCAGCTCACACGCACAACAATCGTTATCCACCAAGCGGACAGCGCCACGAGTTGTTACGTTCAAAAACAGACATCTATCTGTTTGTTTCGTCCTGCACTAAAACCTTATTCTTGGGTAAACTCACTCGTAGTTAACGAAGAATCTTCAATAACGAGTGGGTTTCTTTCCACTTCATTTCACAGTGTACGACGGGCGAGGAACAGCGAGTAGGGCAGTCCCCGCGTAGAGGTGCATCCTCGTACGCGTCGTAACCGAGAGTCTTTTTTCGGCTCGAGGAAAATATGCCACGTACGGAAGCAAGCTTGCTGGCATCGATCGCTCTTAACCAACTACGTCAGCAATGGCGCGATGACGTCAATCGGAACGCTCAGAAGGAAACAAACAAAACAAAACAAAGAAAGCAAGCTGCAGGCTTCGTTTTTGCAGCACCTTTTCCTGTCCGGCGTTTTTTTCGCCGATATGTCGCTCGGTGCTAATACTCCCGAAACATTCGAACGAAATGACCCAAAATGGCGGATATGCTGGCGATGACGTAACGGAGGTGGGGGAAGGGGTCGCCGACGGCGCCCGCGCACAAATGGAAACGCCAATCCAAGACGTCGCTTCGCGGAATCCAGGTGCGAGCCGCGCGCTCTCCCAGCGTCAGCGAATACGGGGGGAGAAGGAAGCAAGGCGACCAAACGAGGAACCATTGTTCCGCTCCTGGACAAATTCGAACAAGTTGAGAAAGGATCCTCGAGGGAAAAAAATGTGGAACTTTCCACATACACATATTTTTATTCGAAGGCGCGTCCCATCGCCATCGCCATTATCATCATCATCATCACCCCCTCCCTCCCCTGCGATGTGGCACGCGTGCGTATGTCACGTGATGCTCAATCGGCGTTGCATTGGCTTCGATGGCTCGTAGCGCCCTCTGCGGTCCGTCGTAAGTGAGACAAAGTATAGCATCCCAGAAAACGAGAGACACTCGTGGAGCTCACGATGGAGAAACCCAGCATTCCGCGATGCCCGTTCTTTTTTTGCGGGGTTTCCCCGATCTCTGGGCTTTCTATGTGATCGACACTCAGTAAAAACAAAACAACAGTCGACTACACGTTTCCAAGACAAATAACTTCCTCATTAACACAACAACGTCTTCATCTCAAAACTCTGGGGCCGTCCTCCCCACGAACAGAAGAAAACAGGACCGTAATATCGGAAATCAGAGCTCCGAGCACACTGGCATTAATTCAATTATTTTTAGCAAAAACAAAAAGGCCTCGGAATAAAATCGAGTCATTTGCTTACACCCTCTAGATAGAGCATAAATCTATGGATGCGCGTACAGCAAAAGCTACTTTCGAAGCAACCAACGCGGGTACCCGTCGTCGTAAAAACTTCGAGGTAGCTGATCGTCAGTCGCGAAGAGTAATTTCAACCTGGTGAACTGGACGTGTACGAACACTGCCCTCTGCACTCGGCCATTCAGTCCTCCGTTCAAGAAACAAGTAGAATCGCCTGTGCGGAATGACGTCGCACGTGGGGGTCACCGACTGGGGTATTCTTCTCGCGACCCAAAATGACGTTGCGAGCCCTCACGTTGGGTTGCTCTCGCTCGGCTCATCACGCAGCTCGGTAACTGACGGTTGCATGCTACCACGTGACATCCCAAGCTTCTAGGCAGTGTGAAAAGGAAACAAATCAACGCGTGAGGACATCCCTCCCAGGCAGTCAGAGTGAGGTAAAGAGGTCGGTAAAGGCCTCTCTTAACGGCCGACGTACCAACCTCCGTTTTCTGCAAGGAAGATTACCCTTCTAGCGCTCCCCCTCTCCTAAGCTGCAAGGGGAGTCAAGTTGGGACAAGGTAAAAAGGTGGAGAGGATAGAGGAAAGGAGGAGGCAGGCAAAAGTGGAAAGCGGGAAGTATACGTCGGTCTTTAAACGTCACGCGTTAAATAGCCCTAAAAATAAGAAACTAATCATGACCGTCTTGCCTCTGGCTATGACACGTTAGTATTTCCTCTTTCGCGAGTCTTCTCTCTCTCTCTCTAAAAAAAATAAGAATCGCTGAAGTACACTGTTTCGCGCTTCGCGAACAGTTCTGCCAAAATCTCAGTTTGTGCGAGGTACTGAA